GGTCTTACTTAGCACAAACACTAATTAAAACATAAAAACCATGTCTAACCAGAGGCTAGATGAATTATTTATTTCAAAAGAGAACCTAAAAAGCAAAAAACAAAAATAAAATTGGGCTGCCTCCCAACAAGCACTATTGGTTAACGCCCTTAGCTAGGCATAAAACACGAATAGATCTAGGTATTGTCATCTTTGGTATGGAATCCATTAGTGTCTCTCATAATGGATTCATATGGAAATTTAATTTTCTTTCTAGGAAAGTGTTCCATGCCCTTCCTTGACAGAAATTGAAATCTAATGTTTCCTTTTTCATATCAATAATTGCACCAATCACTTTAAGGAAAGGTCTACCAAGAATAATAGGACATGTAGGATTGCAATCTATATCAAGACCAATGAAATCTACGGGCCCACAATTCCTATTTGCAACAATAAGAACATCATTAATCCTTCCCATGGGTTTCTTAATAGTGGAATCCGTAAGATACGAATTTAAAGAAAAATCATCAAATTCACGGAAACCTAACACATCACATAAAGTTTTTGGAATCGTGGAAACACTAGCACCCAAATCACACAAAGCATGGTACTCATAATATTTTACCTTAATCTTAATAGTAGGTTCCCACTCATAATAAAGTTTTCTAGGGATAGAAACTTCCAATTCAAGCTTTTCTTCAAAAGAGTGCACAATAGCATCAACAACATTTTTAGTAAAAGCTTTGTTTTGATTATTAGACAGCACATGGACAACACATAAAATCATCCGCCCGCTTGTTTGCCTCAGTCGCAAGCAGAAAAGTACGCACGCCATTAACGAACTAGAGAGAGCATCGTTCATCGTACATCCATTGCCGGCTCATCTTCATTGCACAACACCGAAAATACCAAACTAATACAAGTTCATACATAAAGTTCATACACACTTATTATCATAAAACAACATACAAACTCTCTTGCTAAAGCATTTAAATGCAACAACAAATGCGATCAAGATTGCAACTAAGGCAACAATTGATCCAACAACATAATGATACCAAGCCTCACTATCAATGGCATATTTTTTAATCTTTCTAATCTTCGAGCGCATTTGCTCCATCTTGATCTTGGGATCATCGACGACACCGGGAACATACAACTCCAGTTTCATCTTCTCTTCTTCAATTCTTTTCAATTTTTTTAAAATACTCGTTTGCTTTTTTAACTAAATTTAACCTCTCGACAAGAGGGTTAGTTGGAATTTTCGGTTCACATACCTCCTAGATAAAAATATCTATGTCAACTTGATGGGCATAATTTTTCATAAACATGAAATGCAACAAATAGTTATAAAGAGAATATACCACATATAGATCATAAACCGGATGGTGGCCGACGGAGACGGATATCAAAACCATGCCACTATGTATAACAAACAATGTATGGGTAAGAAAATTATACAAGTAACTATATATCTAAATCACACAAACATGATTTTTTATAAAAAAGATAAAAACAAGAGGCTCACCAAGGTGGTGCCGGCAACGGGACGGTGCGGGCGATCGACGGTGGTTAGGACGGGGACGGGAAGGGACTAAGTAAACCACACCTACATATGCAAACTAAGAGTTAATTTGAGCTCAAATTGCATATAAATCAAATAAACTACCACATATAATTACTTCCAAACTAAAACCCACAAATCACTATACTTATAGAGCATTGCAAGAGCTAACCTAGCAACGAGAGATGAATGGACAAAGTTGCTGACCTTTGTGATCACTTGGATGGATGGGGGACCTTCAAATCTTGACAAATTTTGGGCAAAATGAAGGATGAGCTCGAGCAAGAGGGGAAGAACAGACAGCTTGGGCTCGACGAAGGGTTTATATAGGATCATCTTTAGTCCCGGTTGGTGATACAAACCAGGACTAAAGGTGAGCCTCTAGTACAGGTTCATGCCACGAACCGGGACTAAAGGGGTGGTGGCAGTCTGGGCCCTCACCAACCCCTTTAGTCTCGGTTCGTGGCACGAACCAATACTATAGGTTCAACACGAACCGGGACTAATGATGCCTGCCTGCCTTGCCGTTGGAAACGGCACTAATGTGTGACCATTAGTGCCGGTTCATTTACAAACCGGGACTAATGTGTCACACGTAAAGTAGTTTTCTACTAGTGTAATATGCTACGTTCATAGTTTGGGTCTTGTCCATCACATCATTCTCCTAATGATGTGACCCCATTATCAAATGACAACTCATGTCCATGGCTAGGAAACCATAGCCATCTTTGATCAACGAGCTAGTCCGGTAAAGGCTTACTAGGAACATGTTGTTGTCTATATATCCACATATGCATGCATTTGAGTTTCCGTCAATACAATTATAGAATGTAGTAAAGTATATTGATTAGCAAAAAATTATGAAGAGCAATATTAATTATTGTAAAATATTTCTCGAGACAGATCTATGTGTATCATCTTCATATTTCCATCTACATGTTTAACACAACATTAGTGGTCGGAGATTCAAATTTTGACTTTAATATTTGCCCAAAACACCGTTTATTTGACTAGTGGAGGTAGCATATACTCCCTCCATCTTTGTATACAAGGTCATTATTAAAATTATAATTTGTAGCTATACAAGGCCACTAACACCAATCAAGATAAAATTGATGAGGTTTGCCTCGTGCTAGCAACCGAGGACATTAATACCCCATGCATGCATGCAGGGTGAAAAGGTTGGTTTGAATGCACCGAATTAATCCACCAACGAGCAGTGAGAGAGTTTGTCTTGTTGTGCGTTGGAGAGAAAAATACGCATTAATTAATACGTCAAGCGAAGTGAAAAGACTAATTTACAACATTGGCTTAACTGGTCATTAGTTTCTATTTTGGTACCTGTAATATGGGTTTGTGGTCTTGTATAAAAAATAGAGGGAGTATTTAACATTATGATTATTATATACTTTTTATTGTGGCATGAAGGGGATTAGTTTTGCGTCGAGGCTATTCTCACTCAAGAGCGTGACAGTGCTCCTGATATGACAAAAGTTATTGGGCAAAAGAGACTTGCCATCCATTAGTAACTACCAGAGATATCTTTGACATGGCCCAGCTGGTTAAGAGAGGACATATCAATGGGAAATTGCAAGCAATTTTATCATGAAAGTAGCAATAGCACTGTCTCAGCTTCCTAGTACAACATCTTTACGGGAATACATATACATACGACAAATTAAGTGGTTCCCTCGAGCCCTACATGCATGTATATATATGATGGGTGTATGTTTTACTAAAACGGAAACAATTGTATGGGCATACACACGCTTGTGCATGAACTTTTTAATCGGCGTTCTTATATGCAAATCTAGTATCTTTTGAGTATTGGACAGTAGGAAGCTTACCATTTTTTAATCTTTTACTATGAAAAAGAAGAAGAAATATATAGGCATTTTGATCGGTCATGTGCAGATCAATCTTCATTTTCGTTGGCTACTAATAATTTACAGGACGAATGTTTTCAATATTATTCTTTTCCATATTATTGAGCTCTGCACGTACAGGCTATAACCAGCACTGTAAGTATGATAGTAGCTAGTATATTGTTGATGACAAATAGATTTGGCATAAAATATTGATGACAAGCAGTATATATTAATTCAAACGCACTCCGCCTAACGGGGCACGTATATGCCAGCGCCTCCTCTTCAAAAAAATTAGGGGTCCTCATAGTGGCGAAGCTAGCAGCGAGTTACGCCTGGGCTGACATATTGAATGACAAATTCTCAGAATTCTCGTTACTTTATAAAAAAGAATTACAAGGGATTTTGGTACTAGGCCTAAGGATATTAGCCCTAATTGCTCTAGGCTTATCTACGCCAGTGGATATCCTTTGCCTCTTGTCGGTGCCACAGTTGATCCACCTCGTCTTCGGTATCCTTAGGGAAATGGATCACGGTTGGAGGACTCGTTTTATATGTTTCTTCGAGATTTGTCAGGGTTTGTGTCCTATTCGGAAAGACGAGACGGCGGCTGCTTCCTGAATATTGAATAAGGTTCTTCTCATCTAGCCCCCGTTCCTGTGATGTGTCTAACATCGTCGGTGGGCACGTGAAGGTGTGTCTCCCATGAATCTGTCTTTGATGGGTTTGCTCGGATCTGGTCATCATTCATCTACACTCATGTGTCTTCAGATCGGATCCTTCCGATCTACATTACTCTTCATCGGCGGCAATTGTTGTTTCGTTGCGCTGGTTCTATGAGGTCTTAGCACAACGACTTCCTGGTTGTCTATTATAGCAAATTTTGTCAGGCTCTGACTAAGGACGGGCGATGACAGCTGCACGCCTTTTGCTCATTTCAGTGCTTGCAGTCGTTGCTAGGTGGTATGTAGATCTGTATGTATTTTTTTTAATTATTTCTGATTATTGTTGTACATCTACGATTGAAGATTAATAGATCTGAAGTTTTATTAAAAAAAAGCACTCATGAACCACGTACTAGCAATAGATATAAAAGGAATCATGATTCATGGATGTTATAATCTCTATTTTGCTCTCAATACAGAATACTGGCCGCTCTTCTCTCTCTAAAAAACATTTCTTCTCTGGCCATCTCTGTCAGGGGTGGGTGGAAAAAACTAACCCCACTAGAGTGACCAAAGCAAAGGGCTGCACCCAACAGCATGGAATGATGGCAATATCAATATCAACCTCCGATCGTTTCTCCCTCCTCCCCTCTCCTCTTCCTCCTCACCTCTCTCTCTCTCTCTCTCTCTCTCTCTCTCTCTCTCTCTCTCTCTACTTTGCAACCTCTATATAAATGGCCACCTTTCCTCCCGCACCGCCGGATCACCCATTCTCTCTTAGCCTCCTCTCCTCCTCAGCTCCAAGCGCTAGCTCCAATCTATCTCCCTCTCTCTGCCCATTTATCAGCCTTTAACACACGAACTCAATCTACCGGTCCCTGGAAGAACCACTTCACGCAGGCCGTCGTTTTGTCGATCGATCTAACAATGAGCATCTCGGTGAACGGTCAATCGTGCGTGCCGCCGGGGTTCCGTTTCCACCCAACGGAGGAAGAGCTCCTCAACTATTACCTCCGCAAGAAGGTCGCCTCCGAGGAGATCGACCTCGACGTGATCCGCGACGTTGATCTCAACAAGCTCGAGCCATGGGATATCCAAGGTACAACTATTATTTTCTTCTTCTCCCGCCATGGCGGCCTAGCTTGCACCTCCATTCATTCATATATAGTGGCTTAATTGCACGGTTCATGAAGCAAATAGTAGTTTGACAGTGCAAAGTGGCAAACTAGTACCTTCTGCCATTAAAAAACAAGCCAGCTCCATCTCAGTAAGAAATGCAACTATAATTTCTTGGATGGGTTGTTTTGTGCACACGTACCCGTGATGAACAAATCAAACTAAGAGAATTGTCTTGGTGCAATTTGGGTGTTTCAGAGAAATGTAAGATCGGCTCGGGTCCTCAGAACGACTGGTACTTCTTCAGCCACAAGGACAAGAAGTACCCGACGGGAACGCGGACGAACCGGGCGACGGCGGCCGGGTTCTGGAAGGCCACCGGCCGCGACAAGGCTATTTACAACGCCGTCAAACGCATCGGCATGCGCAAGACGCTCGTTTTCTACAAGGGCCGCGCTCCCCATGGCCAGAAGTCCGACTGGATCATGCACGAGTACCGCCTCGACGATCCTTCTTCCACAACGGACGCCGCCCCCACCGCCACCATGGTACGGATACAATCACCTAGCTCAATTGGGGAGCTAATGCACCGATCGCCATTAATTGTTTGCTGCCGTAACAATTATATGGAGGTGTGGTGGTGCAATGATAGGAGTACGAGCGTCCTAGCTTAGCACCTTGACACCATCCAGCCTTTCCTTCCCCCCTCTCTCTCTATGCCTAGTCTCTCACTGCACTAATGATTAAACTTTTTCCATGTGCTTCATGTGCCCCAAAAGGTAATAATAATTAACACCTGCCAGCCTTTGTCTTTGGATGCCGCCGTGCGTCATGCTCAGGTTGTCAGTGCCGCCACATCGTCGGACGCCGGCCAGGAGGACGGCTGGGTGGTGTGCAGAGTGTTCAAGAAGAAGCACCACCACAAGGATGCGGGGGCCGGAAACGGCAAGCGCGGCGGCGGGGGACGAGATGATGGGGGCAAGGCGGCACGCTCCTCCTCGCCGCTCTACTCCAGCGACGATGCACTTGACCAGATCCTGCACTACATGGGTCGCTCGTGCAAGCAGGAGCACGAGCTTTCGTCGCCGCGCCCGAGAACGGCCACGTCGCGGTATCTGCGGCCCCTCGAGACGGTTCTCGGTGGCCACGGTTTCATGAAGCTGCCACCGCTGGAGAGCCCCTCGGCGGCGGCCACGGCGCGGAATTCGACTACGACGCCGCTCGCGCCGAAAGGAGACGGAAATGTCGAGCGCGAGGTGGCGCACGCCGAGGACCTGCACCAACCCCACCGCGATGGCGGGATCACGGACTGGGCTATGATGGACCGGCTCGTCGCGTCCCACCTCAATGGCCAGCACGACGCGTCCACAGACCAGCTCTGCTTCGACGGCACCGCCGGCCATGCAGGCGGCAACGACGCCCTCGACGACACGGCCGTCAACGGGCTTGCCTTCTACTCCGCCGCGGCCACGAGGCTTCTCGGAGGGGCCGCCGCCGGTAGCAGCGACGACGACCTGTGGAGCTTCGCCCGATCTGCGGCGTCGTCGGAGCGGCTGAGCCATGTGTCACCGTAACAACTGTAGCTGCTATTGCCATGGCCAATGGAGGGCTGAAGACACGAAAGGTGGCGAGGCAGGACAGCAGCTGCCCTAGTACAGTAAAAAGACTACAACGAGAAAAGGGAGAAAATAATAATAAAGGAGAGCGAGATCAACAGAGAGAGACAGAGATCTCAAAGGTGATTAGATTGATGTGTGGAGAGAAAACAAAGTGAAAGAAAAGGGGATTAAAGCGGGCAGTAAGTTGGAGTATCACTGTCACCGCTGATCGCACCCGTCTCTTATTGTTTAATTAACCCTTTTAAGTACTATGTTATTAGCATATGGTTACTTATAATTAAGATCGACCGGTGATATATAAATTAATTCGTAATTACATAGTTTGTTGTGGTGTGTGCAAGGTGCGCAATTCATTTTTTTTCCTAGGATAAAGCAGTAACTTCTCTTCAAATTGTTGCCTGGAAATAAAGCTGAAAGATGGCCAAACTTTCTCATAGAATAGTAATCGGGGTGGAGACTACCGATTTAGCTTCATACTTTTTGCCATACAATTTGTTTAACTGGATTTAGTAATGCAGTTGATTAGTTAGGTGATTAATAAAATAATCGACCATGCATTATGGGTGTGACGACCATGGAGGCAGGGGCGAGAGATGCTGGACGCAGATCGTTATCTCGCTTGTCGTGACAGGAGAAAAAGGCAAGTGAATTTAATTTTAAAGTCGAAAAAAGAGAGGCATAGATCGATGGATGGATCGATCGGGCTATAGTAGTAGCTGCGCTGCCTGTCCCCAGCGCACGTACCGTGGTGCAATGTCGATCGTAGTGCCCTTTTGGTCCCCCAATAATTCCCCTCTCTCTTCACCTCCTCTGCCTAGCTATCTCACTCATGAGTCACTGATCTCCGTTCTGGAGAGAGAAAACATCAAGCAACATAAAAGCTGGACATGGAAACAAACATGCTACATCATGGACACAGAAAAGGGCTAAGGTCGATCTAGAGAGAGAAAGATCTCTGGTGAGAGGGAGAGAGATCTTTAGATAGGGAGGGTGGCAACTGGCAAGTGGGTGTTTGTCGGACATGCATGGAGAGAGTAGTGCCCAGGGGGAGAGCAGCCAGTGCGATATGATACGCCTACGCAACTACGCACTCCAGACACGAGACATGCACAAGTCAACAGAGGGCGGCAACTGGCTAGCTCTACTATCTGAATCATGCACGTAGACGTAAAATACGTCGTACTGGCCATGCAACTTATCCCATGGAGGCATCATATCGGGCATTATTCTACCTGCCCGCCGAGTGGCCGACGACCGGCGGGGTACCGATACCCCCAGTGTTTATTTTTGTGTGGTCGTGGCCGGGGTCGGAGCTAAAAGGGGAATTGAATTGAATTAAGTTGGAGTGCCACAAAAAGGGTGGAAAGGGACGTGTCAGTCCAGACCCCGGCCCGAACCAGCTGCTTACCGCGCTACAGTGGTGTGCTCCACAGCCTCCACTACCACCGCCGAGAGGGGAAAACACCGTCCGTCCCCACGTGGGGAACGAGGACACGCGCGTACCAGCTTTCCCCGGGATCTATAGCTCGTTCCGTTGTGCGACAAGATTAAGGGCATGTACAATGGTTTTATCTTAAGACTGCCACGTAGCATAAATGATGAGGTGGAGGAGAGAGAAATCATAAGAGAAGGCTTGTCTTATCTTATTTAAGAGAAGACAAGAGATGATCTCTTAGCACAATTTGTCTCACCATGTTTTTAGGAACAACTAATTATTGAAGATAAGGCTAAGAGATGACCCATTGTAAATTTGTAACCGTACGTAGCAGAAGATCTACTGTTTTCCCGTAAAACAGAATGGCAAAAATAAGCTCTGGCTTGGCTCATTCCCGCAATGGCGAGGCGAGGCGGGCGGCGGAGGAGGAGTGCGCATGTACCACTCCTCTTCCCAAGCTTCCAATGGCAAGTGGTAGAGCAACCCTTATAAAGAGGTCTCAACTCTCCTCAACTAGTAAGGTGAGACTAAACTTCCCACCACCTGCCATACTATACATGGGCCTAAAGCCCATCTATGATTCAACAATCCCCCACTAGATCTCGAGGCACATCAGTTTGTCAACCGTTCCAAACAATGTTTGATATATCAGAAATTTCAGTGGAGACTGTTAAGTTGAACTTCCACTTAGAGCAACAGAATTAGACTTCTTTGCAACCAAACAATGGACTATGCCTTGAATTGTCAGTTTGGCGTGCAGAAGTTTTGCCTATTGTCAGCTGATATGTGGCTGCCGAAGGCTAAACCCCACGGGTGGAGCTTATTAGTCATACTCCGTACCTTCTCATGAGCTTCCTAGAGATTACCCAATCTCATAGACTGTGACCAGCAGTCGGGCTCACATAAGTGTGTTCCTCCAAAGACTGCTCTGTAGGTTAGCATCTTGCTTACACAAGCTTTGGAACACATTAAGACAAAAGTCAGGCTGGCTTATAGAATTGAGAGTATTATGTGTCTCCAACGGAGTGGGTTAATTGAGGATACTCTCCTCAGTTGGCCGCTGGATTGTTTTTCCAGGTCCTAATTCACAGGATCTCCGATCACATAGGTTGGGTTACCACCATGGCAACTTACGTGGGTCTTATACCCATCTCACTCGATGCATTTTCTATCACAATCCGTGATAGCCCTTTCGTAAAAGGGTCTGCCAGATTTTTAGCAGTCTGAATATAATCCAACGCTATCACTCCGGAGTTTCTTGATTTTCTGACAGATTTCAATCTTCTTCTTATGTCCTTAGTGGATTTTATGTTGTCCTTTGAACTCTTAGCTTTGGCAATCACCGTGTGATTGTCACAGTTCATAAGGACAGCCGACACTGGTTTATCAACCACCGCCAAATCCATCAAAAGCTCTCGATGCCATTCTGCTTTGACGCATGATGTGTCTAATGTTGTGAGTTGTACTTTCATAGTCGTTCTGGTTAAGATCATCTGCTTGCAAGACTTCCAGGAAACAGCACCACCACCAAGTGTGAAGACATGTCCACTTGTGGCTTTCATCTCATTAGCATCAGATATCCAATTCGAATCACTATACCCCTCAAGTACCGTCGGGTACCCAGAGTAGTGAATTCCATAGTTCGCATTACGTTGCAAATAACGCATCACTCGCTCAACAGCATGCCAATGCACATCTCCCGAGTTGGAAACAAACCGGCTCAGTTTGCACACAGCAAATGAGATGTTACAACGAGTAGCACATGCTAGGTACATCAGTGAACCAACCACTTGAGAATATCTCAATTGATCTATAGCCGTGCCTTCGAACTTCCGAATCCGCATGCTAGGATCATATGGTGTTGCGGAAGGTTTGCAGTCCGAATATCCAAACCGGCTCAAAATCTTCTCAACATAGTGGGATTGCAAAAGTGTAATTCCACCCTCAGAATTTCTCAATAGCTTGATGTTCAAGATAACATCAGCCACGCCCAGGTCTTTCATCTCAAAGTTATGAGAGACAAAAGTCTTGACCTCCTCAATGACTTTCACTAATAGAAAACAGGGCTTTGGTTCGGGCAGGGCAAGCCCATTAGTCCCGGTTCAGTCACGAACTGGGACCTATGGGGGCAAGCCCATTAGTCTCGGTTTGCAACTTTTATTATTGCTTGTTATTATATAGTATGATGGTTTTGGTATCCGCCCCCATCAGCGCTCGTCCTGTCTATGATTCAGATGTGGTATATATTATCTTTTTATAACTATTTACTTCATTTATTGTTTTGACAAGCCGACCAATGTGACATAGATTTTATTTATGTAGGAGGTAGTTGAACCGGAAATTCCAACCGACCCAATTGTCGAGAGGTTAAATTTAGTTGAAAAAGAAAACACTTACTTGAAGGAAAACATAAAAAAATTGAGGAGGAGAACATGATGTTGGAGTTGCATGTTGCGGATGTCATTGATGATCACAAGATCAAGATGGATGCAATGCGGTTGAAGATTAGAAAGATTAGAAAATATGCCATTCATACCGAGGCTTGGTATCATTATGCCGTTGGATCAATTATTACCTAGGATGTGATTATGATCGCATTTTTTGTTGCATTGAAAGGTTTTACATAGTTTCAATGTATGGTTTAAATACATGCTCTGGAGAGCTATATGTTGTTCAATGAGAACTATGTATGTACTTTGTTTTTAATGTGATGATGAACTTCTATTAATTTGGTCACTTATCTATTCATGAGAGCTATATGTACTAAGTTGATGATGTGGCTTTGAATGGTGCATTTTGAACACAGAAAAACTATGGAGTTCAAACAAGTTAAAAAAATGAAATCCCTTTGTAACAGACGAGTTTCCATATGAAACCCTCATACTTCGAAAGAGATTGTCCGTTTTGTACACGAAGTGAATCCAGTTTTTGCCGCAATCCTCTCTACTTTCTTGCACATGCTATGTGGGTGAAATGATGATACCATGCAAACTTTCAACCTTTTCAGAGTTCATTTGAAATGTTTTTCAATTTCAGGGTCTTATAGCTCAAAATAATCAGTAAATGCATGAAAAATAACAAACGAAGTCAGAAAGGGTTGAAAATTGACGATGTGGCTTTGAATGGTGCATTTTGAACACAGCAAAACTATGGAGTTCAAACAAGTTAAAAAAATGAAATCCCTTTGTAACAGACGAGTTTCCATATGAAACCCTCATACTTCGAAAGAGATTGTCTGTTTTGTACATGAAGTGCGTCCAGTTTTTGCCGTAAACCTCTCTAGTTTCTTGCACATGCTATATGGTAGAAATGATGATAGCATGCAAACTTTTAACCTTTTCAGAGTTCATTTGAAATGCTTTTCAATTTCAGGGTCTTATAGCTCAAAATAATCAATAAATGCATGCAAAATAACAAATGAAGTTAGAAAGGGTTGAAAATTGATGATGTGGCTTTGAATGGTGCATTTTGAACACAGAAACACTATGGAGTTCACACAAGTTAAAAAATGAAATCCCTT